AATAACCCTTGCCCCCCTCAATACTACTAATTTATTCTAAATATTCAAAGCGTATTAACTGTTTCTAACGGAAGTGACTCAGGCTGTTTATTGTATTATGTTTTGAAGGCATGTATTTGCAATTAACACTTTATCTTGTCTTTGTAGGTCTATATATACATAACAGACTTGAATTTGAACTGGCCTCAATTTGACCCTGCCTATTATGCCGCACAGGTGAACGAGAACGCGAGTAATGGCACGTTTGTTGTGCAGGTGACTGCAACTGACGCAGATGCTCTGGACAGCACAGAAGGGGCAGGAGACGTGTACTATGAAATCCTCGATGGGAATCATAACGGTAACAGGAATACATATTTATGGATGGGAATTATAATTATAACGTTTTTAGTATTATAATTGAATTTATATTAGAACATAATTGTAACCAGTCCAGTAGAATCTAATTAAAAACTGTGAAAATGAATGTTCCCACGCGAAAGACGACGACGTCACGCGGGATCACAAAATCGATGTATATCTAAAAATTCTTATGCAAATTAATAAGTCTGTGAAAGACCGATTAGTGTTAATCTCAGATCGTTTTGATTGCATTGTGTATGTTTGTATATATCGAGAATCTCTCAATCGAGCTTTCAATGTATGCCGTGTATTGATACATTTGATTGACTGGCACGAAATGAAGTCGTTTTCAAACGCTCGCACAGCGCGAGATTTCGTTTGCTGAGGGGTCTTGATCACATATCACCTTACATGGCTATAACAGTTTCACAATCTCTGCGTCATATCATTTAATATTCTTTCACAATTAGTGACACTCATACTAACTTGCTTCATTGAACACATCTAAATAATAACCAATAAAAGAGCCGATTACGGCTACAAATATCTCCCTAGGTCTATGTCTGTCAAAATGAAATGGAGAGTTTTTTTTCAAATGGGTCTTTAACCACTGGTGATCGGTACTGAATCATATTATGTTTTATCAGGTTTCTTCGAAATAGATTCAATAACTGGCGCCATTTACACAAATGGCTCTATAGACCGCGAAACACAAGAATATGTGAATATGACGGTAAGAGCGTACGACGGGGGTGTTCCTGTGAATGATAACACCACTTCCGTTGATATAAAGTTATTGGATGCCAATGACAATCCACCCGAGTTAAACCCCAGCGAAATGGAAGCAACCCTTCCACATGTATGTATGAATATTCTGTTATATAGCAATGGTTTTAAAGATTCATTTTACAAATAACTATTACTGATTCTCATATGAATTATGTTTTCGATAAATGAACGATTCTAATATAACATAATTGTTCTTCGTAATAGAATACTCCAATCGGCACCTTTGTTGTGGATGTCGATGCAACAGATCAAGACACTGTCGGATATATCACTTACTCTTTAGAACCAAGTGTGGAATACATCCAGGAGTTATTTATTATCAATGAGACTAGTGGAGTTATCTTAACACAATCAGAATTTGAGATGGGAGATATTAATTCTGACCATCAAGTAAGCATATACACTTCCTCGCCAATCAATCAATAAATAAATAAATCAACCACCCACACAGTCACCGAGCTCACTCACTCACTCACTCACTTACTTACTCACTCACTCAATCATTCCAAATTCTCGGGCTTCGAATGTCGGGAACGAACAGGACGACCTGATATTAAGAATAAAGATTTATATATACCAACATTCGTTACTGTACTGACATGGACGCAAGTCTCGTGCCAAGCATGTATCTTATATTTCAAATATTTTCTGTCATCACTCCACATATAATTGCCCACACAGATCAACGTTATGGCACATGATGGTATCCATAGTGATTATGGACATATATTAGTGGAGGTGTATTACAACGATTCCAATACGCATGCTCCCCGGTTCAGCGAAGGTCAGTAAACAGGAGACTGTATACTTGTATATATAAGCTGATATAAGTGCTTATTGAAATAAGGTCAATACCTTTAATCACACTTGGACATTTTTATATGAATGATCAACATATTCATATTATTTTCCCAGCAACGATCACTCTTTCTAGCTTGGTGATTTGTTTATTCGTTTTCGCCCAATAATCAGTTATTTCAATTTTGTTACAAACCGAGGAAATCATTACTGTTAACATTTCTCGTTACCAGTCACCGGTAGCATAGGGGTCGTCGCATCAGTGCTGTGATCGGTAGACCCAAGTCCAACTCCTACATTAGGCTGAACACCATAAAGTGTCGACCCCTGCCCTGGGTGAGTGTGCCACAGACTCAATGAGAAAGCCGAAATTCATTCACTAACGTGTTCGCAGGTGTTTGTGTTCGACCGAGCCTGGTTGACGCCAGGATAGCGTAAAGAGAGATGGCTACACAGCCCTGTAATTTTGTCCTAAACAAGAAGTTCGGCTTCTGTGGCAAAACAGTCATCGCTAGCACATACAACAAAGCTAGGTGAGACAACAGTGACATTCAATGTCCGGAACTGTCACCTGGCACAAAACATTCAAAATAAAACAAATGTATCGTTGCTCCGTCTTTCATACCCTTTTTTGAACACCCTCATTGCCGCCACAGAGAAGCACAGTTTTTGTAAAGGCTATTTCGATGTTGTCATGTTTACCATGCTTAGTCTTGAGCTCATTTTATGAAATAACTTTACATTCTTTTTGTTTTGTGAATAGTTTTACTCCTTTTGGTCTCAACTTATATCATGATTGTTAGACACCGCTGAGTAGTCTGGCGCCAGTCGGGACGATTTTTTTAAAACATTTGCGTAATTGATAATTGAAAAAAACTAAATATTTTCTCCGCTCACCGCGAAATCACCCAAATGATCAGCCATAAAATTACCATTGGGAAATTTCGTGGCGAGTGGGGATATTTCGCGGAAGTATATCTCTAATTTACTTATAGCAGGGAAAATGTAATCACTGCGACTGTAGCCAGCCTAACAGCTAGCCAACATACTAATTTACCAAGTCCCCTGTTAAAACCGTTACTAACGTGGACGTTATTGTTACAAGTGTGGTATGAACTTGACTGTGTATGGATTTCGCAGTAGCAAACCGATAAATACATGGACACTGTAAAATATGTTTCATCCATAGATTATCAAACATGTTCCCATAATGCTCTATGACGAAATTTGCATACACGCATCTCACTATATTATAATTACAATTGTATCAATCAGATCTTTACTCGACGACAGTCTATGAAAATATAAGCATCGGGACGAATCTAACTCTAAACATTACAGCATACGACGTAGATGGCGTATCATACTCACTCCGTTACTTGGGAAATGAAAGGGTAAAATAATCAATTAATTAATATTCTTAAATAATTCTACAACGGTTTTAAGTTGTGTTGAAGACAGAATCAACCATCAACAATCGTGCTTCCCATGATTCCTTCGCAGGGTATATACGTAATAGATGACGTCACTGCTATTATCAGCACCGTACATTTATTAGATCCATACAACATGACGCAACAATACAATCTAACAGTGGTTGCCACAGACCATGGGGTCAAACCAAAGACAAGGTAATTCAGGAGACATTTAATTTCGTCTGTTAAAATTCATTATTCATTCGTCGGGAATTATGAGTGGTTCACAAATAATACGTTTTGTGCGTGTATTGTCTGCATACAGTGAGGCGTCGGTAGAAATTTACGTTTTACCAGTTGAAGAAGAACAACAAAAAGAGACATGCGGAGAGAATTCAGGTATTTAGTAATGTTTTTTAAACTTCTAGAAGAAAGTTTTATTATTTGATGACCTGCTAATTCGCGTCATACACCAATACACACATTTTGTGTCGTTTTCCAGTAAAAAAACAAACACAGTATAAATATAAGCATCATTTATTTATTTATTTATTTATTTATTTATTTATTTATTTATTTATTTATTTATTTATTTATTTATTTATTTATTTATTTATTTATTTATTTATTTATTTATTTATTTATTTATTTATTTATTTATTTAGATCAGCAGGCAATAGTGATTATTATGGCAGGACTGGTAGTAATCCTAATAATTATATTGATTTCTCTGGTCGTGCTTATTGTTAGGCGGTTTGTATATTATTTTCTCGACACATTTTCCATTCAAACTTCGACTACTTTATATATAAATTTATAACTATAATATGTGCCCACTAACGTGATCCCCGTTTAATGTTAGTCTTCTACTGCCTCCTAAAACAGTCATGTTTTATTGTTTCATTTACTCATTTGTAGATCCAAGAAACAGAATAACAACGTAAGTAGTAAGTGTGTTTACAACCTGTGCGATATGTGCGATTGAAGTAGACCACTCAATTCAACAAAACCTTGCGAAATACAAGATCATATGTCCGTAATTGTATAATGCACGATCTACATTATTTGGCCCGCAGTGCAGTTTGACCTCCGTGAGCAACACCAATAAATGCAATACGTCATTAGTTTCTCATTACGAAATACTGCAATTACTTATGATCATTTAATCATCTTCTTTGTCCCACCAAGTGTCGTCTCAAATCTAGGATACAATAGGACACATCAGAGTATGGAAGAATACAATAGAATGTAGTATTAGTAATGTTTAATTGCACAACGTCTTAATATTTAAGCCTGGAAGTGGACGTATAGTATAATCGTAAATGTTTGGGTTCAAAATAGTGTTTACTGCGATGGCAGCAATATTAGCATAATATGCGGTCTATATTAAAATAAAATAAACCGTTTTTGTACGACCCACCCCGATCTCTATCACATAAATATGTGATTAGAATGCATTGATACATTATGTTTTTATATTTTTATAGAGAGTTCCTGATTTACCGGTACCTAATCTTCCACCTCGGAAAAAAGATCAAACTAGAGAAAGTGTTTACACTAAGGCAACACCAAGTCGAGTCAATAGTGAATACCAGCGACCCGACAATATTGAAGAGTAAATATCTCCAGTTGTGACTTTATTTGTTATAGTTAATATAGTTTGGTTGTCTATAGTATAATGATCAGTTTCTGAGACACGTTTCATTTGGGTACACTGCCAACATAATATACATTTCACTCACACAGTAACCAGCGTGATTTGATTGACTATTGTGACTTGGGTCCTGATGACAATATTGTAAACCAAGATTACATTGAGATGAAAGGGAATTCTGCTATTAGAGGTACTCACTAGTATATATCAATGTACATGTCGTTCTTGACGTTCATGCAATGTGTTCACATTGTATAATAATTTGAATATTAAATATCGTGAACAAAATTAAATTATAATTTGTAGTATTGTATTGAAATTGTGGTTCAGTCGATTGGTTGTTTATGTCTAACTTCGCGTTCTTGCCAGTCG